ATTTGATAGATGGAAAAGTTGTTTCTATATCGTTACATATGTTCAAAATTTCAGATATAAATAAATCGATTTCTGTTCAATTTATCAAGTGCTGCTGCATTCATTTACATTGGATCAATAATGGTAATTGTCTTTTGATGTATGATGGAAATTGTAAAAAAATAACTGTTTTTGATATAACAATCAATATAGCTTACGTTATGATTTTCAGTTATTTTTCTTTTCTCATATTTGAAAACGTCTGAAATAAACTGAAAAATTATGTTTTTTTTTTATTTCATCATCATTATACGGATTTTCCTAAAATATAAAGATTTTCTTATGTATTTCCAGAATATTTAAAGAATTCATAATAAATGAGATTCATTTATTTTTCTCATATTAGAAAACTATTTGAAATAAACTGATAAATGACGTTTTTTTATTCTTATTTTAAAATAATTGAAGAAAATATACTTGATTTATAGTTAATAAATTATTGGAAATTTTTAAACATTTTTTTTTTGTAATTTTAGAATTATTAACAGATTTTTAATAACAAAATTAAAATAAAAAAAAATGAGTCAAATCATGTGATTTTCAGAAGTCGTTTTAAATATTAACTTTTCAATTTTTTTATTCTCGTGTTACACCAATTTCTTATCTAAACAAAAATTTGATATACGATAAAAATTGATTGGTAAAATCTGTGTAAACGTATAACATTGTGGTAAACCGGAAACGCGTGTAAAGATCACGCACTATGAGAAAACATCGTCTTGAGCAAGGAAAGCTTTCAAGAGATTTTCTTGCAGAAAAATAATTAGAGTGGCAGAAGCTCGTCGAGGCTCGAGGTCGTCTTATGAAACTCTAGTTGGAATGTCGTGTGTTGGGGAGAGAGCGAATTAAGCAAATGGAATTGCCACTGTGATTAAAACCTTGAACTTGGGATGTCCTTCGTTTGCAGCAGGGGCGGATGGATTTGAAGGTTTCGAAAAGAGTACAGGTGCAAATGAAGTGCGATGAGGATAGTGTGTAATCCTGTTTCGATACTTCCGATTAAGTAATTGCGTTTTCAAGTTCAGTTAAGGGCACGTTTAAGGGCACGTCGTGTGCATCTAACAGTTGCGACCTCACGACCTATAAGGAACGTGTCATTCAAACGTTACTTCCAAACTGAATACTTTATTTCAATTTATATTGAAATCGATTTCTTTCAATTTTTCACAAATATTTATTCTAAAATTTTCAACATTATTTTTAGTTTGACTTTCAATATTTATTTTCTAATTCAATTTGAAAAAGGTATCTAATATTACAATTATACATAAAAAATATCGGATAACGAAAAAAACGGACGCGTGTTTTCCGCAAATGGAGTTTTATATTATTTAAAAACTCTGGATGAAAAACAAAAACGGCAGAATTGTAACAACCATGAATGAATGTTTGATGGAAAATGTTGCAAATTGGCATGTATGTAACAATGTGAATTTTCGCACATTTGCATTTAATTCAATGCTACTGCACGAATAGCATTAATATTTTAAATTTAAAAAATAACGAAATAGCCAGAATAAATGCAGGATAAAATGAGAATTGTGAAATATGAAAATGTAATAATTTGGTGGGAAAAAAAATTCAACCAATGCGGAGCTCTTGTACATATTTAATGAATGCTTCCATTATAAATAAAGGTCAGTAGATGAAATGCACTTCACCAGCACAAAGTGAGAAGTTTCCAGCACATTTACAAAAATATTCAACACATTCCACAAAAAATTCGATTTCATAATTACACTTAATATCTTTTAAAAAAACGTTATTATAAAGTGTAAACGATCATATTTTTATTATATAAATAGATAAATACTTTATTATTTAATAATTTGTAGTTTTTATCGTTTTTCTTACAGTTTATTCCAAATTTTATATAAAAATTTCCTGAAAGTTATTTCACAAAATCCTCGCATAATCCGGTTAATTATTTCATAAACAGATCATTACAATTGAAAATTAAGAAACTTGCAGCTATTTATATGAAACTATTATTTACTAAGTACAATTCCATGAAATTTTTTAATTAGAATTATATAACAATTTATAAATTAGTATGAAGTTTCTCGACTTACCTTTCGATGATCAAGACGAAACAACAAGATTATTATACTTAAATCTAAACATGCTCAAAATAAGTAAATACATGCAATTTCTTAGTAAAACATACCAAATAAATGAAAATAATCACTTTTATAAAAATTTATACAAAAATCTATAATTAAAAGTTTCCAAATAGTTAATAAATTATTTCCAATTTGTATAAATTTTCTTTAAATATGAAAAAAACTTGTACATTTTTATTACATTATTTTATAACATTATATAATAATAACACTATTATATGAATACAAAAAATTAAATTCATTGATTCTAAAATAAATAGAGAAATTTGTAGAATTATACTTAATTTTTGTTTGTTAATAAATTATTTTCAATTTCTATACATTATTTGTAAAAATTTCCAAAATATTGGTTAGAAAAATTCATAATGAATTAAATAAAAATTGTGTATGAATTTGAAATAAAAAGTGATGATATTAACAATTATTACTAAATCTTATTGGAGTTGTGTTAGGAGGAAAAAGCACGTCAGGAATCGCAAAAACTGACCGATTCCAGTCCAAAATGCCACATCAAACATAGTATTTCACCAACAAAGAACTAAACCAAGACCTTTCAGCTTAGAGGTTATCATAATAACTTAATCCAGAAATTATAAAAGTAACCTTCTATACCAAACGTAATGGTAACTAATCGGATTACGCAACAGATTAAAAAAGAAAATATGTCCAATTAATTTTTATAGGATATTTCAAGAGAAATATTGATTTTTTTTCTTATTAAACTTGATAAATTGTTATATCATTGTTATGTCCAATTACATTTTTTGGGTAAAAAAAGTGAAACAATAAAAATTTAGAATCTCCTTTATAATAGAAGATTTTGAAGTTAATCAACTAAATATTTTCTTTATATTTACATATTGATCTGTTGCGTAAAACAGTTCAACAACCGACATTACGAATAAATAATTCATTGAATTATCGGACATTTCTATACCAAACAATGCCAATTTTCATGGATATTTATTACTGTTTATTGCATGCGGTTTGGTATACGAATCGAATATTCGCGTTTAATTTATTGACAATATTTCCAATCTAATAAACGCAACAACTAAATATGAAACAAACTAAATATTTATAAAAGTGTTTTTTTTTATTCACGACAGTTTCTTATAATAAAAAAAAACAATTATTTACATGAAAAATTATATAATGTAGAAACTGAAACTTTGTAATTGTTTTTAAATGCTATCATTTCTGTGTATATATTTCACATTTTATATAATGTTTCATTTTACTTCATTTTTAAATACGCAAATAAAGTATATGTAATTAAAATATCAATTACTTAATGGACTGTAAATTTCAAAATGAAATTCGATTTTTCTTTGTAAACGTTTAATATAAACACTTTATATTTTCTGAATGAATCTGAAGAAACGTTACGTAAACGTTTGTCTCTACAGAAACAATCAAGTTTTTAATATCAATTTCACAGTTAATTAGTTGTGCTTTTAATAAATCAGATAGAAAAAAAAAACTTTATATGAAATGACGTTAATTGACATTGTTATATATAATTATTATTTTCTATTGTAATTATAAATATATTTCATTTCGACGAATTCCTTTATTTTATAATATTTCTATAGTATTGTAATTAAATATCGAACAAAATAAATAATATTAATTCTGTTAATTACGAATTGTTATGAGAATTAAATTTGTAATTTTAATTAAAATAAATAATAACAATTCAATGGAATTCAACTATTTATAAAATTTACATAAAAATTGTTTGATTTTCATAGCTTAATTAATTAAACATTTTTTGTATTAAATTTGAAAATAAATTAAAAATTATTTCTTGAACAAAACGGAACAAAAGAAAAATAAGTTTAATACATTAGTAAATTATTGTATACTAGTTTTATGTAATTAATGAAATTTTTAAATAAAATAATTAAATGAAAAATTAGCAATTGTTTTACTAAAAAATATTAATTTCTTAACGCAGTTAAATTCTGTTAAAATATGAAAATCGTGCAAATTTTTCTAATTAAAATAAATTCCTACGTATGTATGAGTTTAATAATGAGTTTAATTGGCAATTAATATAAAATATTTTATATTAAAATAACTGAAAACACAAGTTATAACGACATAAGCTATTAAAACTTATATTTTTTAATTAAAATAATTCCTATAATGTTCTGGAATTTTCCAAAAAATTGAAAAAAAAAAATACATTTTTCACAAATTTTACAAGTACTTAGTAGAATTATAATTGTGTTACTTTGTAACTTTCCAATTAAAAATTGATTTATTCAAAGACATTGAATTAAATTTCGCTGGACATAAAAAAAGATAATCTTGAATAAAATTTGTTTCAAATTTTAATAAATTCATTATCGTTTTTAATGAACTTCAGTTAAATTGGAATAAGTAATTATAAATTAATTCAGATCGATGGGAGAGACAGAAACTTTAATTACATAATTTATAATAATTAAACAGGGATGAAATTGGAACGTGATTGAAATTGAATTGCGAATTAATTTCGGTGGCTGCGTTAAATCCAAACAGATTATCAGCAATAATTAATTCGAATTATGCAACGGGCAAAGGACCGAAATACGGTTTGATCGGATTATATAATTGGTGCAAAATCGAAAAATGAAAACGTTTTCGTGATTGTAAGTAAATATTGCACATACAGTCACGGTCACATAATAAATCTGTATGAAAGCAAGAAGGTGGGAAAAGCACTGAACGGACTTGGATTAGCCTATTTTTTTTTGTTTCTTTGGCAGGACCAGATTCGCTTTCTAAGCATTGTGCAAACTAGGAGAAAAAAAGTATGAAATTTGAAAGAAAGGAAACAAAAATGTTTACCTTGGAAGCCAGAAGTGCTGATCGGTGGTCTTCGAGTTCAAAAGTTTGTATCTCTCGTTGGTAAAAGTTCGCAACTGGTAGCTCGGGTCTGCTCTAGAGGTCCTCCTCCACCGGCGGCTTTCGGTGAAGTTCCGCGCTGTAGAGGCAACCCCTGTTTATATACGTGCGATGGGCTTCGGCGTGCGCTTTTACACGTGCTTATTTCATGGAGGGTTGGTAAGGACTGGGGTGGCAGGAAGCACCCTCTCCTGGGCAAATACCTTCGCCCTCTCGCTCCAGCAGCCAACGTTGCCGCCCACCGTATTCTGAGCTTTAGGTTTACCCTTGCGTTACTGATGCGACAGACAGAAAGGCACGAACAGATAATGAAGGATGGAGCGAAAGAGCGGCCCGCGAAGGGCGCCGCGGTGGGCGGTGGGGGGAATCTGGTGACCATTCACGTCCATCCGGCGAAGCTCCGTCTCTGTCTAACCCAGCAACAAATATGGACAGCCTACATCAAAAACAAACAAACAAAGTTTCAATCTGCACACATAAACAATTAAAAAAAAAATTCAATTCTATAACTTTCATTAAAATAACAATTAATGAAAATCCAATTAATCTAAAACAAAATTTCCTATTTTCACTATTTAAGGGAAAGTTGCCTTTATTGGACCATAACCTCTATAACAAATTTACGCTACATCGTAGGTAAAATAGATAAAAAAATACATATATTTTTTATAATATATCATTTTTGACAGTTCTTATTTCCTCTAAGCAATGAATAAAATCGATGAAGAACAATTATTAATTAGGGGTTATTTTTTAAAACTGAAAAATGACAGTAGAAACTTCATAATATTTTTTTTTAATTTAGTATAGACTACAAAATATAGTTTCAAATTTTATAATCTTACTAAAAAAAATATATATATGGTAAAGCAACTGCTATTATTTTACAAACTTAATTTTTTTTTCAACACAAAAATAGTTTTTGAGGGAGAAAAATTTGGATTAATTTGAATTTTATACTGAATATAAAATAAATTTGGTGGATAAAAATTTACATCTAACAATTATGTATTCAAAAAAAACAAACTTTCTCAGTATTATTACTTTTAATGTTGATTTATTATATAATATTCTCTGAAAATCTTACTTTTCTTGACTTCTATTAAAATACATAAGAACACTTCAATACATTTTTACAAATTTTCTTCATATTTACTTACAGCTACACTTAAGTATCTGATGTACATGAATTTCTATACTTACAAAATTCCTATAGGATTTATTGAATAATTTATAATGTATTGTAAGAATGGATTTTTAAGTTAATATTAGTTATTTATAACAGAAACCAATTTAAGTGAGTATTTGCATCGTTGTGTTTTTACCTATCCCTCGTTTTACACGGTACTTTCTTTACACGTTTTTGCTTTTACACGATTTTAATTTAAATTAAAAGGATTTGTTTTATGCTTTGATTTATGTACCTTCAAAAAATTTAAAAAATATGCATAATTAATAAACAACGAAATTATGCGTTTTTTTGCATACATTTCGATTTACAACGTTACAATTTCGATTTACACTAATCTATCTAATGTGTAAATTTAGGTATAAAAAAATCATTTTTCATTTTTTCTACTAAATTGAGTGCTTAATGAAAAAGCTTTGGCTGCAATTATGGACTTTTCAAACGATGCTAATATTGTTGTGACGCAAACATATAAAAATACTTATGTTCTCAATAGTATTTTGTAACAATTATTTTTTTTTATTTTATTATTGATTTTTATTTATTTGTTTATTTTTAAAACAAGAACCAAAAGATTCAAACACACAAAACTGTGCTTATATTATAAAATAATGTTTTATTTTTTGGATTCATGAACAAACGGTTCGTTATATTTACATATGTTATAAATGCAAATATTTTAAGTTTGTGTGTTATTTATTTTAAAGCTTTGTTAGCTGCTTTAAATGTGAAAATACAATCAATATATTTGCTCAAGTTTGTGGGTGTAAATAGTAGGTGTTTTAAATAAATACATTTATTTATTTATTTACATTGTCCTGCTATTTTATGTATGTATTTACTAGATAAATTAATTATTAAATAACAATATTGTAGTGTGTTTAAAAAACATTTCAATTAACATGCTATTCGGTGTATAAGACGCACCACGATCTTAAGACAAGCGGCGAACATATCCTTTACGCAGTAGACTTCGCTTATACAAGCCGTAAAAACCACCACTTGTGTTACCGAAATACATGACAACATAATATACAGAAGTTGTGCAAAAAATCCCTCTGCACAGGGATTAAGTTGCGTCTTATATATCAAAAAAATATCGTAATTAAGATGAGAAGTATGTGTTATAAATGTATTCTAAACACAACACAAAAATGATTCTTTTATGTTAAATCAATATAATCACTTAGCATAATCACAGTAATCCAATAAAACTAACCTGTTCACAGAGATTTTGATGTCAACTGAAATCTAATTAAAACCGCTCAAACTTAAACAAATAGTAAGCAGGAAACTTAATCCACAAAATCCCACACCCGTGCTTTAAATGCGAGTAAACTTTAATTATTTGAGTCGCTGAAGTGATAAGACGTGTGTTTGGTGCTCCGGCTTAGGTTTTTCTAAATAATTGTGGTAATCGGTATTCCGGTAAAGTTGAGAATAATAGTGAGTGAAAACAATCAACAATCAACAACAAACAATCAGTAGTAGTGCTGGTAGGGCCAACCAGAATGGCGGACGAAG